ATTTTGTGTTTTTTTTTTATTCGTCGCTTTCTCGCACCCGAGTGTCCTCCACCTGCAGGACCACTGTCCCACATCCGCGAGGTACGCGTCAATCCCAGTTGTAGTTTTCTTTTTTCTCATGCAATAGCTATTATCCTTATTTGGTAGTTAATTACTCGTTCATGTAGTGTTGAAAACTTTCTTTTATCTGGCAAATGACAAGTTATTGTTTTTGCAATAAAATTGACGATTTCTTCATTAGAATTTTTTTCTACTATTGGGGCTTCGTCTATCCAAATAATTATGTGAAAATGTTGTAACCCCCTTGATTGATATTCTCGTCTCCAAGCATAATGTTTTACTTTACCTAGAGGCCCATTGTCAGCTGAAATAAATTCAAGCTAAACTCATTGTCTATCATTCGTGATGTTGACACTGGGTCATGTGCAATCAAAGCAGATATCGATTTACCATTTTCTGTATCATTATTAATTTTTCGTAAAAATGATTCTAACCATTTTCCATTTATACTCAGCTGGGCTTAAGGTTAAGAAGATGACGCGGCTACGGCGATGTAGTATATCACGGTGAGCCGGTCTTGAGATGAGGTTTGATGAAGGCAACCAAAAAAAAAAAAAAAAAGAAAAACAACACGCAATTGACGATCACGGTAGTGAAAATGAACACGTTTAATGGTGTATGGTATTCAAAAAGAAAAGAGTCGAACACGAAACAATGTCAGTATAATAATGTGTATATCTATATTTCCGTGATCGGAGACGGTGGCGTATGGTCGCGTCGACGGTCGTTTTACGAGAGAGAGTCGAGCTCCGGCGGCCGGTACTCGTACGACCTGTCTTCCCATCCCGCCTTAGTGGTGGGAGAGTCGACGGTGTCGTCGCCCGTGGTGGTGGTTGACAAAGTGTAGACTGGGTCGCAAGTTGCGACTCGCAACGGTGCCTGTACTTTGTACTGGTCGCCGTTACGTACCGTGTCATTCTCCCCCGCCAAACCGCCACACGGGTACTTGCGCCGGTGCTGGCGTCAGACCTGAGTTGGTCGTCTTGCGCTACCTCTTGCTCTCGCTTGAGGTATGCTTGTCCAACCGAACTGACCCTATGGGTGGTTAGGGGACCCGACCGGAGTGAAGAACGGTTTGTCGTACTCCATCTCCGGTATCCCCTCCAGCGACAGACCTGGCGCGGCAAGCCATGCGTCCTCAGATAGTGTATCTGGGTCGTTGCTTGGCGTTGGCCGCGCCTGGTTGGTGGTCGGTACTGGCTCCTCGGGCGTTTCACCCTCGGTCGCCGGTATGTCCACCTCCATCGCTGCTGGTGGCGTTGGTGTGGGCGGTGGTGGTGTGGCGGCTTCCGAAGTCGTGGTTGACGCTGGTTGCTTGNGCTTGCCTCGCGCTTCCAGGTCTTCCGCTTCTCCATCAGCTGTCGGAACTTACGTTTGTTCCTCGCCACCTGTGCCTCCGTCCTTACCTTCGCCACTGGACCAGTGGTGACCCTTGATGGCCCGGGGACCGGGGCCGGCCCCCTGGGCGTCTGGGGCCCGGGTGCACCCGCCTTTTGGGCCGCCTGGTGTTGTTGCGGCTTCGCTGGTGGGTGTTGCGGTGGCCGTGTGAGGGTGGTCGTGGCTGTGGCTGTGGCTGGTCGTGGCGTCGAACTATTTCGGCTACTGCTGGCTGTCGTTGACGGTTGTAACGGGTCCGTACCACGTTATCATTAGTTCAATATCCGATCGCGGATTAAGCCAATATTGGTTAGTGTTTCGCAAACGACTAAATATTGTAGTGAGATGCCTTCCAATTCATTGTTTTGTAATCGTTATTGATATTCTGCAGATGTTAATTTTTCAGTGGCATTAGTGATATTTAATTTATGATAAATACCAGCTTTTAATAACCTAATATTAGCTTCATTTAAAAGAAAGAACGAATATTGAGAATCAGTTCGATAAATTGGATTGTATGACAATAGTCTCGATTTAATGTATTAAGTTGGCTTTAATTTAACTAATCGATTACAATATTGACCATTTTGACCAAAAGAATAAATTGCAGGAAAACATTTTAAATCTAACTCTTTATCTCTATGGTCTATCAGATTTTCATTAATTTTAAGCATTTGGTAAAGCTCTGACGCTTTGGCATTTTTCCTGGGTTCATTTAAAGCATGTATAGTAAACTGTTCATAAAATGTTTCGTTAATATCCCTTTGAGTTAGAAAAGCGTTCAAGTTGGTCTGTTCTTCAATATTCAACTCAATACCTTCATTTTGTTTTGAAACTTTTTTACAATCTGTATTATTTTCTTTTTCTAATAAATCAGAATCTATAAAATGAACCTCCATATTTTGAAAGTTATTTTCAAATGTTTCATAATTTGGTATTATTATGTTACTATATAAATGATTATTTTCTTTTAACCATATAAGAGCATCATATATTTTGTTTACATCTACTAAGCTCTCCCATATTTTTTTTTTAGTCGACTGAACGCTACGAACTAAAATAAATAATTCATTATTTAAGATCGTATCGTTAGAATTGGGTAATTTTTTTAGTGTTTCTTCGATTGGTTATGGTAAATGGAAAGTTCTTCCAACAATTTTTTCAATCATATTACACCGGGTTGTTTCTTACCAGAAATAGACCCCATTCTAACAATAACTTGAAAAGCCTTTGCACGTTGTATCTTTTCAAAATTGTTTAATGATAATATAACATCAGGTATTAAGTCGTTTGGTACCGTTTATCGCGAGCGGACATTCGTTGCGTGCGTCCGTTATCGCCTTTCATTAATGGCATTCTGACCACCCAACCTTAATATGTCTGCTTCTAAATCCTCTAAACGTAATTTATCTTCATCGTCTAGCAATGATGGAGATAATAAAAACAAAATTTTTGTCTCGCCGAACCGATTTGCCTCTCTCTCCAAAGATGCCGATCCTCACCCGGAGGTGTTCAGTCCTCCGCCTGTCACAGTCTCGCCTCAAGCAGAGGACATCTCTACGCACACCTACATGGAACCGCCACCAACGACCAAGCCTCACATTCCCCCCTTCTATGTAAGTGACGGATACGACTTCTCTACACTCAAAAATTCCTTATTTAAAGTACTCGAACCATCGAGTATTTATTTTAAAACTACTCTCAAACACCTGATTATCCATCCTAGCTGTATATCTGCCTACAACGCAATGAGTAATTACCTAATGAACAATAAACAAATCAAATTTCACTCTTATCTACCCAAGGCACTTAGACCGTATAGCGTTTTCATTAGACACCTCCACCCGTCTACCTCTGTTGAAGACATTCAAGCCTGCATTACTGATAAAGGCCACGAAGTAATCCAGGTCACAAATATTTTACATCGTATAAATAAAGGTGCATTGCCTCTTTTCCGGGTTGATTTAAAGCTCGCAGATAATAACAGCGAAATCCTTGATATGGATTCCCTGTGCCACACAAAAATTAAAATCGAGCGGCCTAATATAAAATTATCCCCTCCTCAATGCAAAGATTGTCAGGCCTACTTTCATACGAGTAATTACCGTCACCATTCCCCTCGCTGTGTAAAGTGTGGGGATAACCATCCTTCCGCTAAATGCACAAAACCCCCGTCGACTCCCGCCAAATGCGCTTTATGTGCTGGACCACACACAGCTTCTTACAAAGGCTGTCCTGTGTACAAGAATATTATTCAATCCCGCAAGAATTCCAAATCCGCAAACAACGGAAAACTACCCACTCCAATCAATGTCTATGCATACCTAATTTCTTGTAGAATAATTTAGTTTGACAATGCACCAATCTTACTGGAAATGTTCTGTAGAAGAGAATGCTGCACTTTTTAATTCGATCTGAACATTATAAATGGAGCTATAGCCAAATATATTATGAATTTTTATGGTAAAAAAGAAAATGTTATTCTATAATATTCCCTGCGGCCCGCATCAAGTTCCCCGCTAACTGAGGAGATACACACACGCACTGACCGTAGCGCGTGCTTTGTCACAACGCTTGCGGCGGCAGTGTTTTCAGTTAATGCGTAACGGCTCGCGTATATATTCAATATTGTTCACAGATAAAAGAAAGGTTTCCTTTATCTATGATATTATTCTAGTGATGGTAACCTGTTATCAATACTAATAACTGCTATAATCTGCTACTGTTACTATCAAAATAACAGTTAAAATAACAGTTACTGTTATTGACTGTTATTTTTCGGTATACCTAACATAGTAACATGTCATATTATATAACATAATCTTATCATAGACTTATACTATTATTATAATATACATTGCTAAATTGCTAAGCAGTGATGGGATATTGTGTGGCAGCTGGCTACCCGCTATTTGCGTTCCTTTTGTAGAATCGTTACAACTTACAAAATAAAGTAACGATTCCAAAAAACTCATTAGGTAGTAGGTACCTAATATCTATACTCCGGCCACTGAGAGAGCGCTACTCCTTGGCGCATCCAAATGAACGAGCTCCGCGATTCCGTACCCATTTTTCTCCCACTCTACTACCTATTGGCCGCCCAACATGCCCCCACTCGCTACGCGGTGATGGTAGCTAATTCCACGGCCGCCGCAGCCGAGCGGCAACAAGTGGTTTGTCTACAGCGGCTCAAGTAAACAATAGAAATAATAACACCCGGCCTCGGGCATGTCTATTGTGTATACACTATACAACACAAACGATATATATGTAACACCAATATTTTATTTATGCAATTTTTTATTTATTTAAACCAAAATGAGTAATTACATAATATATGTATATTACATAATACACATTTAAATAACATGTATTTAGTAAAAAAAAATCGTTTAAATACCAAAAAAATGTAATACAAAAAAATTACAAATAAAATACATAACAATTATCGCAATTCATTTAATAATTCATAAATGTAATGCAAAATGGATTTTGTAAATAATAATACCAAAATAAAAAAAAAATTTAAATAATACAATAACAAAAAAAATAATACAAATTAATCATTCAGAATCTGAATACTCTGAATCAAAATCAGAACATTCAGAACCACTGGTATCACCTGTTCCTATTGTCATGATGTGATCTCCTTCGGCAGGTTCTTCCTCCAAAATTTCATCTGTGATGAAGTCGATTTCCCAGAATTTGTGTTCCTCCTTTACGACATGCTCAACAAAATTGGTCCACATTTCTTGCGTTACATGTTCTACGCCTTGTTTTAATAATTCTTGTACGTCTTTTATTTTGTATGTATTGTTATGCGTCCGGACATAATGTTTAACGGATGACCACGCGAGCTCTATCGGGTTTAGCTCGCAATGGTATGGAGGCAATCTTAATACGGTTTTATTGTTTTCTTTTGCGTACTCGTCGATAACGTATTTTTCGTGTTCCGATTTTATTTTTTTTACTCTCTCCAACAATACTGCCTTTACTATTGGTTGTATTACGACCTCACCTTTACTTTCCAGCCAGTTTATAATTTCTTGTTTTTTCCACGACCTTACTGGAGTTGGATCTTTTTTCACGGAATGATACGAGGCATTATCCATGACAATAAAATTTTTATTAAATTAATTAAATTAATTTAACTATTTTGGCAGATAATTGTGTTAAATTTAGAATTTAATTATATAATTTTAATTATAAATAGTAATTTTTATCTTTATTATAATTGTTAATTTTTTGATTTTGTTTTTAATAGTTTTTATAAGAGTAGCTTTTTTTACTTTATTAGAACGTAAAGTTTTAGGTTATAT